GAAATTGTGAAAATAATCTCCCTTTCAGATCTAAATAAAAATCAAATCTATTACGTCTATCTAACTCTAACTATAACTATACCTAATGTCAAATTTTCCATTAAATGGGATTTGTGAAATATGTTAAAAATTTTTGATTATATAGATAGCCAGTGTTGGAATAGATACCGTTTAAAAGGTATATAGTTATAGGTATATAAGTATTGTGTGGAAAAAGTATTTAGATATAACTACAGATACATTTTTTTTTATAATTACCTAAGTATAGATATCGCGATACAAGAAAAAAATATCCGAAAAATTAGGTACTTTTTAGGTACTTAAAAAAAAATGGAAGAAAAAAAAAATAGAGAAAAACGAAAAAATGGAGAAAATAAGAAAAGAAAAAGATATAAGCAGCGTAAAATATACTAAATTTTAATTTTTGTTTTTTTTAATACATAAAAGAATGTCTCAATGACGAAAAGTCGAAAACAAGCTGGGTATAGGCTAATTTTATTTTATATAAATTTACTACTTACGTATGTAAGGTACTAAAATGTTTGGATTTGGATAATGAAAATTGTAATCGTATGTACGTCATCGCGATGGATTATCGATAGAAATAGCGTGGCAAACTAGTCACGTGACGTTGTCTCCTCAGGAGGTCACTCATGTAATTTTTACGACTTCAAAATTGAAGCATCGGATTGGCTGAAGTAACAAGCTTGTGACTTGCGACGTCTGCGATACGACCAATGTAGAATGGCCTTTAAACCAAATAAGGGGAAAACAAGAAGAAGAAGAAAAAGAACGGTCAGTAACGGTATGTATATAATATAAACATGGCAACTTTCGCATTTAAACTTGCCGGTCTTTACTGTTCGAGGCGGAGCCTAACAATCTTCAACCAACTTTAGTTCGGCGACACCGAAAGTATGCATTTCCTATAGCAAAAATGAGGTGCTAGCAGTCCATGTGTTTATAGTCAAAGCGCCCATCGGTCGCGGTTGCTTGTAAATGGTAAAGGACTTTTCGATTCAGTTCAGTTCGTTGTACCAACTCGTGAGAGGCGAACCCGTAGGTCGGGGACACCCTGTATATAATTATATATAATTTCATATAATTTTATATAACTAATATAAAATTACATAATTTGTAAAACTTTTTTTTCTCCCAGGCGGTGAAGCAAATGAAAGCACTTGTACAAAGTTAAAAATTAGAGAAGAAAGATGATTTACAGTAATAAAAAATTAAGTTTCCAATATGACATAAAATAAAATGTATAAGTACTTATTTATCTAAAACTTAAAAGATACTGTACCAAAAAGTAACTAGATACGGATACAGGTATCTTCGCCCGTAAAGATCTAGATAATATACTTAGATACAACTAAAGTATCTAGATACTGTATCTAGATATTTTTACCTAGATATATTCCCCAACACACACACTGGCGATAGAGAGAAATAATAATTAATCTCTATTAAATTTTGTTGTTAGAAGGTGGGAATCCATATCTAAGGGGACAAAAATTACTTTAGATGAATTTATGATAGCTTTTAGATTAATATTGAACTCGACAGTTTTTATTTTTAATGGTATATTTTATAAAGAAATTTTTGGAACGCCTATGGGATCTCTATTATCACCTATAGTAGCAAACATGGTCATGCAGGATTTCGAGGAAATTGCAATTGGATTATTGCCTGTTCAGTTATCTTTTTATTACCGGTACGTTGACGATATTATCTTAGTAGCCCCATCCGAAAGCATTAATGACATCTTAAACATTTTTAACTCATTACACACAAGATTACAATTTACTATGGAAGTTGGCAAGGAAGGTAAAATAAGTTTTTTGTACACTTTAATTATTGTTAATGAATGTAATTTAATATTTGATGGCTACTGTAAAGCCACTTTTTCTGGCAGATTCCTTAATTTTCAGTCTCAACATCCGATCTGTTATAAGAGAGGAGTTATATATAGTGTTATAGATAAAATAGTTCGCTTGTACCATCCAACTTTTCAACAGAATAATTTGATTGATGCCATTAATATATTTTTGAACAACGGATATCCTCTTCAATTTATTTTTTCAACAATCCAGAATAGAATAAAATACCATATTAATAATATTAATGTGAATAATAATAACATTTTGCCAAATAAATTTTTCGCTATTTCGTTTGTCAGTTCTATTTCTGAAAAATTTAAACCTATAGCTAATGTGGTTGATTGGCGTACACCATTCCCAACACACTTAAAGATAAACTACATAAAAAAGGGAAAAGATAAACTAGAACAATACAAAGAATCAGAATGTAGTTTATAAAATATCTTGTGAAAATTGCGAAGCAAGCTATGTAGGCCAAACTAAGAGACAATTAAGAACAAAAGTAAATAAACATGTCTCTGATATTAACAAAGGTTCAAGATCCTCTTCGGTAATTACTAACCACAAAATCGAAATGAATCATGATTTCAAATGGAATAGTGTAAAAATATTGGATATAGAGCCTTCTTACAGAAAAGATTAATTTCTGAGATGGTGCACATTAAGAAACAAACACATGGTATAAACAGACAAAAGGATACAGAGTCATTGCCCGACACATATACTAATATGATACATTCCCTTTCCATTTCTTAAATTTGTCACGGTTCCTGTCTTCTCTCGACATTATGCTTGTACATTACATAATATTATCTTATAAAATTTCTAAAAACTTTTATTGCAATATTCTTTCGTACGCAGGTTTAAGAAAGTGTCTGCAATGCAGTAGAAAGCGTGTATATATATATATATATATATACTTGAATTTAAAAGATAATGATTAATTTTTATGGTAGTGTTTTTTTTCTCATTATTAAAAACATACAATGTAAAAATGAGTAAAGGACTCTTATAATTCAAACATAAAACAATAAGTAAAGAACAATTAATTAGAAATATACAATATAAAAATGAGTAAAAGACTTATA